CACTCTTGTGGGACACTCTTGTAGGACACTCTGGTGGGACACTCTTGTAGGACACTTTTGTAGGACACCCTTGTGGGACACTCTTGTCGGACACTCTTGTGGGACACTCTTGTAGGACACTGCGGCGGCGCACTGTTGTAGGACACTCTGGTGGGACACTCTTGTAGGACACTCTTGTGGGGGACGCCTGTAGGACACTCTTGTAGGAAAACTTTGTGGCGCACTCTTGCGGAACACTCTTGTGGACAAGTCTTGTGGAAAAGTCTTGTGGGGCAATCTTGCCCTCGTAGAATACTCTTGTGGGGCAACCTTGCGGAACACACTTGTAGGACACTCTTGTGGGACACTCTTGTGGGACACTCTTGTGGACACTCTTGTGGGACACTCTTGTAGGGCACTCTTGTAGGACACTCTTGTGGGGCGCTCTTGTAGGACACTCCTGTCGGACATTCTTGTGGGACACTCTGGCGGAACACTCTTGTGGGACACTCTTGCAGGGCACTCTAGTGGGATACTCTGGTAGGCCACCCTTGTAGGACGCTCTTGTCGGGAATGCTTACGGGACACTGTTCTGGGACACAGGACACTTCTATAGAACGCTCTTGTGTAACCCTTGTAGGAGACTTTTATGGGGCACTCTTGTAGGATACTCTTGTCGGCCACTCTTTTCGAACACTCTCGTGGCCAAGTCTTGTGGGACTCTCTTGTGGGACACTCTTATAGGACACTCTTGCGGAACACTCTTGTAGGACACTCTTGTCGGACACCCTGATGGAACACTCTTGTGGGACACTCTTGGAGGCCACTCTTGCCGGGCACTCTTGTAGAACCCACGTGTGGGCCTCTCTTGCGGAACAGTCTTGTAGGACACTCTTGTGGGACACTCTTGTGGGGCACTCTTGTCGGACACTCTCGTGGGACACTCTTGTAGGACACTCTGGTGGCGCACTTGTGGGACACTCTTGTCGGGCACTCTTGTGGGACACTCTTGTAGCTTGTAGGACACTCTTGTGGGGCACTCTTGTAGTGGGACTCTCTCGCCGACCACTCTTGTGGGACACTCTCGCAGGCGACTCTTGTAGGACACTCTCGTGGCATGGACGCTCTTGTAGGGCGCTCTTGTCGGGAATGCTTACGGGACACTGTTCTGGGACACTGGACGCTTCTATAGAACGCTCTTGTGTGACCCTTGTAGGACACTCTTGTAGGATACTCGAACACTCTTGTGGACAAGTCTTGTGGAACAGTCTTGTGGGACAATCTTATGGGACAATCTTGTAGAACACTCTTGTAGGATGCTCTTGTGGGACACTCTTGTGGTACACTCTTGTAGGATACTCTTGTTCAGCGGCTCTTGTGGGACACTCTTGTGGCACACTCTTGTGGGACACTCTTGTCGGCCACTCTTATCGGACACTCTTGTGGGGTACTCTTGTATGAGGGTTTATTTCCCTCATGCAAAACCATGCTCAATCATATCGAAGGTCATCTCATCCTCAAGCTTGTCAGCTTCATTGACCAAAACAGTCGGAGCTGAGTTTCGATAAGTAGCATGGAAAGTTGGGCCTTTCACCACGAAGAGGGACATACTTGTGAGCGTGCGGCGTGGGAGCTCGCTTTCTGCAATGATGGGGATGCAAAACCTTGAGAGTCAAAGAGCACAATGTTAACTGAGCTCTACAACAAGCAAGGCGGACTACGGACGACTGACTAGAAACAGGCGGTGCGCATATATTGCGTAGAAACGCCTAGGGGGCATAGGACCCTACAAATCACGCACAGGGGTGGGGGCGGGTGGGGCGCCAATGCGAGGAAGGTGAGGAATTGGGACTGCGTTGAATTGAACAAGAAAACGGGACACATGTTCGCCGTGAAACCACGGCGAGAACACATCTTTTTAAACGTGGCCCACGAATCCTGTCCCTCGAAGAAAAAAGGACAACCGCGTTGAAGCCAAAGCTTCACTTTGCCGAAACCCACTGCGAACCCCACATGAAACAATGGTACCGGGATCAAAAATGAGCATAAAACGTAGGTATCGTGTACCGCGCACCAACGACTGCTGCACCAAAACACACGAGTCTACATCCAAATTTCAACCTGCCGGGTTCAAGCAAAAAGGCAACCTGAACAGAACAAAAAACAAGTGGAGGTGTGTAGTATCGAAAGACAGGGCGAATGGATCAGCAAAATAGAACGCCCCTCCCTTCTCTTTTCAAGGGCAGTCGCACGGCCCAGCTTTTGAGCTGGCGACCTGCCTATTGCACTTGAAACCCTTTCTCATCCAAGTCGGCGTGCTCCCCAAATACCTTTTGAAGTCATTCCCAACCTCACTGCGCGCCGTTCAGCAAAGCACCTTCAACACACCAAGTAGCTGGCCACACATCAAACTAGGCTCGCAGCCCGAGCAATGTGGAGAGTTGTTCTCGATCCACCATCGCCTGCGTGGAAACGCGCAGCCTGCAATTCCAAATTTTGGACGCCTGTCACGCCTGACGATCACGTTGACCACGGCTCTGGCCACACAACACTGACCTGCTCAAGCTCTGCGCTGGATTTTGGCCCTTGTCAATTTTCTCTTGGTTCCCAACAGCAGATTTGGGGCTGGGCGTAGGGACCTTGGGTGCCTCCTGTCTACGTGGCTGGCGCGCAAAGACCTCCTGGCTGGGAACGGTGGGCGCTGTCAGGCGCCGCCGTGGAACCTGGGAATCCTGGGCGCTGCCATGTTGCAACCGTCAAACCTTCCAACCTTGGGCGCCGTTGCGCGCTGTGTTCAAAGTTCAGGTTCAAACAGCCACCTCGAAACGTCGTCAGGTGTAAGCTATTTCTGCGACAGCTGCAGTTTGTTTGCTCGTAGTAGTGTGCCATTTGTCGCCGCTACGAAGCAGTCCTTCCCAGCAGCGCAAACACGTTGTATGCAATGCGCAGCAAGGCTGCAGGCTGTTGCGCGTATACCTAGCAGGGCGGTTTTTTGCTAGTAGTGCGCCTCCTGCTTCGATTGCGTGGCTGTGGAGCTCCACGCCAATTTCTGAGACAATTGGATGCACTGCGACGCCAAAGGCTTTTTCGCTCTTAATGTACCATTTGTCACCGCTACCAAGCAGTCCTTCTTTGTGGGGCGCCTGCTGCCTCGGTTGCAATATGTGTTCCACACACCGTACAACTACGGTGTGGGTTCTACGCGCAGAAATGCCACAGGCAATTGGGTGTACCTAGGACCTATAGAGCAGGCCAGTTCAACAGTGGCAACAGGCTTTGCGCTGGTAGTGCGCCATGTGCCGCTGCTACGTCTTTCTATACGGCGCGTATGCGCAGCAAGGCCACGCACAGTTGCAAGCCGTTTCTGCGCCCCGAAAGCTTTTGCACTTGTGGCGCCTCCCGCCTTGTTGCGAAGCATTCTTTCTACACACCATAAAACTATATGTTTTTCGCGCAGCAACGCCGCAAGGATGTTTCGTCGCCCGCGCCAGCTCTTGCACTTGCAGCGTTCTACGCGCATCTTTGCCGCAGGAATTAGCAGCTTTTTCGTTCCCGTCGCCGGCGCGAAGCAATCTGCCTGCGAAGCGCAAAGCAAGTTGTGGGGGCAGCTAGGCCACAGGCAGCTGCGCATACCGCATGCCTAGCAGGACGTTCTGAGTCGGCAACAGCTTATGCGCTTGTGGTGCGCTTTCCGCTCGACCGTGGGCCATCATCCTGTTACGCGCCAATGAAAATTCACCAGACGCGCAGCAATGCCACCAAACATGCAGCTTGTTTCCTTCTAGTGGGCCATTTGTCGCCACTACGAAGCACTCTCTTTGCAGCGTTCCTCCTGCCTCCACTTTCCACGCTAAAAACTACAGAAAATGTTCAACATGCAGTTGCGCGGGCCCAGCAGCGCCCGCAACAGCTTTTGAACTTGTAGCGCGCCTTTTACGAAGCAGTCTTTGCGCGCATCGTGCAAAATGTTGTGCGCCGCAGGCAGTTGCGAGACGTTTCTGCGCTGGCTGCTGCGACGCAGCCATCAAATCTATGCGCAGGCCGCAGGGTCTATGCGCCGGGCTTGCGGTGTGCCTTGCGGCTCCGTTGAAAAGCACTCAGTCCGCGCTAGGCGCAGGCAGTTGCGGATACCTAGCAGGAAGTCTCCGCGCCGTTGCACTTGCAGGGCGCGCGGCAAATTTGCGTAACTAGCCATTGGAGCTTCAGCAACACGTAGTCGGGGTGTTTGAACAGTTCCAATCGTCAATTGAATCGTTGCCCGCTGTTGGGTTGCAGAGCTGGGTCAATGTAGACAACTGCGGCCTGTTCCAAGACTCGCCGCACTTTGGGCAAGCTGTCCTCACACAGAACTAAACGCCATACAACGTCGTTACGTGACATTGAATTGAATGAACTCAAAAACAATTCTCCGTGAGCGCCAGCCTTGACACTCCTGGGAACTTATCACAGCCACTCATCAAAGCCTAGGCCAACAACACGCCCACAAGCACGTTGAGGCTGTGGGGCGCTCAAGCGCCACGAACCGCTACCGCTAGCCAACAAGTGGACTCCCATGCATCTGTTGCAGCCAAATGCGCACACCCAACCCGAAGACATACAAGCAGCTTTTTTTGGGACCCTACTCGTGCGACCTTTTGGAAATGGCATTTCGGCGCAGCGGGCGCGGTACAATGGGCAATTTGAACGCTGCCTTTCTTTTTGCTGCCACGCAAAACGCTCTGCAGGAACTTCCACGAGCTTTCGCGGTTGGCGCTTAGATCCTTTAGCGGCAGTTACGAGAGCGCCTTCGCGGTAGAAATTGTCCACGCTCGTCTGTACGATCAACCATTATTAAGGCGATTGAACGGTTTAACTTCTACAGCATATTCGGGTGGTTGCACGAGGCGCTGCTCAATTTTTTGGGCGCCGCCATCACAAGCATTCGCAGGACCCAATCAGGACCCAGTGCTCTGCGCGCATGCCGACGGCTATCTCTTTTTGGGCAACAGCTGAGATGGTTTTCAACAGGGCAAGCCAATACCAGTTTGATAACCCCTATAAAATGTAGAGCGTAAACTTATACACACATATATATATATATATCTGTGTATTCTATTTGCAGATCGCAAGGTGGACGCACGCAAATCAAGAACTTGACACGCAGGCGTTTTGTTTAAGGAGAAAAGGTGGCGAGCAGGTTATGAGCGCAAGGGTAAAGGTGTAAGACGGCCTCGCCAGCCGCAGCCCAAGCCTTGGCAAACCCATGGCGCTTCAGCGGCGGCGAACGCAGCCTGTCCGACATCTTCTACATGGAGCTGGAATGGCTGCACGACATGTGGTGGAGTTGGAATGACGGAGAAGGGATAAGACCACTGAGAAGCTTCCTCACTTCAAACTTCGGACAACAGGCGGTGGTGAACAAGGTGAGCCCGCGGACCCAAAAGCAAAAAGAAGCGCGCAACCCAGGAAAAATAAACGCGCTTGAGAAGGTTGCTCCGCGGAGCTTGTCTTCAGGCAATTCGCGGTGAGCATTAGCACTTTAAGATTGCTGCAAGTTAGACCTTGACTAAAGGAAGGTGCAAAGTCGGTCAACCAGAAGGTTTGAACAAATCGATTTAAACAATTCAAAGCTGGCGCAGGTACGTTCGGATGATCAGTCCGAATATCCCACTCAGTGGCCTAGCTTCGTTGAACTGGGTCAGTCACAGAGTGCCCAGTTCCCCTGCTGTTGTTCTGTGCAAACATGAAAGATCCGGCTCAGGTAAAATAGATAGCTAGAATAGGTCCCTTCGAGACAGGGGTTGACACACACAGAAAGCCGAAACCGGCGCATCTAGCATAGATTGTCACGAGCGATCGAGTTGTTTGTTCAACAGGCTGTAGCAAGCAAGCTGACTTTTGGCTTGACGGGGCCGCAACGCGGCAGCGCAATGTTCTTTGGAGTAACCTTTTGTCGCATAGAGCTGCACCAACTGTTGTGAGGTAGTTTGCGCAGTGTGGGGTGGGTATGTATATTGTTGAAGGGTGTGGTGTCTGGATTGTAGGCCTGAAAGGCATAATCTGTGACTGCCTGCGGATTGTATGTCCCGTATCTGCCACGAGTGAGTGGGAAGTTGGAAGGTGACATTTCTGTTGAGTGGGTCTGTGTGGAAGCCGAGGAGATGGTCATCCTCGACCGGCTCGATTTCAATTGGATGTTCGTAAAATTCGGGGCGGGCAAGCGTTGTGATTGGTAATGATTGGCGGAAATGTTCGTTGAGTAGGATGTAGCGATTGTCAACGTATCGTGTGTTGAATAAGTGGAGGCTGGGTTGTTGTAGAAAAGTGAGATATGTGTGGCGCCAAGAATGTTCAATGAGCGTGATTGCTACGTTGCAAAGAGCTGGAGAGAGCCGGCTGCCGATGCGTGCTCCTTGGATTTGTTTGTAGTAGGAATTGCAGGCTTGAAAAATGCAGGATTGCAGTGCTTGTCGAACAATGAGTGGAATGTGTTGAGTGTCAAGTGTACGTTGTTGTGGGTGATGAATGTAGTGTCTGCCTATGTGGGAGTGTTGTATGGGGTTGCCCGTAGATTGAATGTCAATGGAGAGTGTGGTTGTGGGGCGTTGAGATTGCCAGCGTGTGCAGAGGCTGATGACTGCGTCGACTAAGCGTTGTTGTGGTACGCTGTTGAAGAAGCCGACGAGATCGTCATTGATGGCTGTGAGATGAATGTCATCAGGTGTGGTGTGGAAGTGTGTGTGGAGTTGTTTCCACAGGTTGGGGATGGAAAGCTGTCCTGGATGCTGAGGGAGGAGGTGTAAAAGCATAATGTCGAGCGCCTTGGATGTTGCGCGAAGGAGTGCGCCGGCGATGGAACGGAAATAGCTGATGACTGCGCGACCTTTTCGCCTGTGAAATTGTTTTCGGAAGCCCCAAGGGTAAGCTCGGCGGATGCTGGCTGGAAAAGATTGGGCAAGAAGGGTGTGTAGCTGCTCTTGTGTGAGGTGGGGTAGTGGTTGAAATAGTTGTGGCGTGTTCCAAGTAGCGAGGCAGCCGTGGAAGTAGTGCTGTGGACAGAAAATGCGGAGGTTCTGTAGCTCGTGATCTGCATGGTGCAGGACTAGTTTGTCTGTGAGAAATTGTTGAAGTTGTGTGACATTGCGGGAGGTGAATCGAGGTGTGTGGTGTAGGCTAGTAATGTGCTGTTTCCACTGATGTTGCAGGAAAGTCTGGCAGTGTTGGTGTAATTTGGGTAGGCCGTGGTGTCGAAGCCATTGCGCTAGGGTGCTATGAAAGTGGTGAAAAAAATTGTGTCTTGGTGGGAAAGTAAGTGCTGTTCATGTTGGCTTGTAGAAAGAGGTGAAGGTGACAGGGAAGTTGAATGTCTTCGAGTGTGAGGACATAGTGGCCGTCGTGCGTGGGAGTGTGGTCAGGATCTTTGAGTAGTGTGCGCAAATGCGAGCAGCTGCAAGGCATGTCTGTGGCGGTGGGGTGTGTGGTGAAGTGATCTTCCCACTGCTTGTGGTTGTACAATCGTGACCGCAAAGTCTTGTGTGCGGCTTCACGGAGTTTGGTTGTGGGTGGGTGAAAGGGAATGATGTGGTGGATGTGGTGTTGTACGAGAGTGCGAAGCCATTTCTCGGCGTCGGACTGGAAATTGGTGTTTGCCAGAAAAGGAATGGTGAGAAGTTTGTTTGTTTTGGGTGTGGTGAGGTTGCGGAAAGTGAGAGCTGAGTGTAAGAGATGTAGTACGCGGGAGCGATCAGGCTCTTCAAGGCTGGGCTGGCATGCGGCGAAAAGCATAGATTTCAAGGTCAGTGTATTTGCCGCTGCGAATGGCGGTGGAAGTTTCAAAGGATGAGCGCGTGTGTTTGCTGAGTTCTTGGAGAACGGTGAGAGCGTGTAGGCGTTGGCTTGTGTGTAGAGTGGGTTGTTTTATCGTCCGTTGTCTGCGTCGTAGTCTTTGAAAAAGGCGTTTGTGAGTAGCCATGCGGGTGAAGTTGGTGCGGTGTTTGGCAAATTGCCAGCCTGATGCTTTCAAGTGGAGTGGCGTTGGATGTATGGCCAGTTGAGAGTGGGTTGCCAATCTTGAACGCGCAGGTGTTCGTAGGTCCATGCTTGATCGTAGGTGTCGTGATGGGGGAGGCAAATGGTGCTGTAGTGGTGGAGATTGTTCTTGGAGTGCCAATAGCGGAGGGGCAATTCCGCTGATATGGGGTGGTTGTTTTGCAGTTGTTTGAGTTTTGCACGGCGGTTGTATTCACGTTTTGGTATACTGATGCTGGTAGAGCCGATGTATGTGTGTCCGTGTTAATGATATTGATGTTGGTTGTGGCGCTGGTTGAAAAGGAGCTTTGCGTATACTCCTTTGGGTTGAGTGTAGGTGTGTGGTGTGACTTGTAGTTGAGTGAGGCGTGAACGCCATTTGATGGAGGGCTGTGTGGAGGAAGGGAATGCAAAAAGGCAGGCGAGGTGAATAAGGCTGATGGTAAAGATGGCGTAAGATTGGTCAATGTATGGTGTGAAGTGTACAAAGTGTGAAAGTGCTTTGTGGAGGGTGGTGAGGTGTTGAAGAAGGGTGTGGTTGGGTTGGCGCTGTGCTTGATATGCGAGTCAAGCGGCTAATGCTGAGCCAGCGGCCACCAGTTGCTGGAGTGATTTGGGTGGCAACTTCAGGACTCGAGTGAGAGGGAGTCCGTACTTGGTGGCGGCTTCTTGTAGCTGCTCTTTGCTGATGCGTTCATCACGGAGAATCTGTAAGATGTTGTTGGCTTGTGTCTGAATGCCTGGTGGTAGAGTTTTCATCAATTTTTGGATGCCTGTGCCTGCAAAGTTTGCCGGAGAGTTCTCCTGAAGTGTTTGTGAGGTGGGGTTGAGAATGGAGTGTGAGGTTAATGCGGTGGGCGCTGTAAGGGGAAGCGCTGGTTGCGAGGCTGATTCAGTGGTGCCAGTGGCGCCTGGTTTTGTGGGAGTGAGTGAAATGCCATGGTTCTTGAGCTTGTCGCGAGCACGCTGTAGCTCAGTCTCTTGTTGGTGCAAGCGGTCTGTCTGCTGCTGGAGTTTGCGGAGTGCTGTGCCTTCGCCTGCTGGAGGTGTGAGTCCACGCAGAAAATCGGTAATGCGTGAAATCGTTGCATGAATGTTTGGCATCTGTGGTTTTGTTGGGGATGGGTTGGTGGGCTTGTTGGTGTAAATATTCCGCAATGTTGTCGATGTCCAAGTTGTGGGCACGAATCTCAGTAAGAAGTTGGGAGGTGAATACCGCCTCTGCGATAGATCGAGTGGTGACAACGCCGGTGTAGCGGCCTTGGGAAAGGGTGCGAATGCTCTGGTCCTGTAGGCCAAAGCGGCTGAGCTGCCAAGGAAAGATATCCAGAACCGGCTGTCCTGCGAGGTTGTATTTCCTGGACCATTGTGTGGGCTGTATGGTACGAAAGAGAGTTTGTCCATGTCCAGTGTTTGTATCCCAATCAGTCTCGCTGGGAGTCCAAGTGTCTGGGATGTTGGGTGTGTTGGGTGGGACATATGCCAGTGGTGAAGTGGGGCGTTGTGCCGTAGTGGGCGGTGGTGGAAGTGGTTCGGGAGGGAACGCTGGGTTGAGTGGCGGTGAGGTTGCTGTGTTGGAATCGGTAGCTGGTGCTGCAGGTGTGTGGTAAGGGTGTTGGTAATGGTGTCGGACTGCATTGGTAAGCGGTCCCTAGCCCGCGCTTGGAGCCGCGGTAGAGTAATAGTGCTGCCACCATAGTTGATGTGGATCCATGGTGGAGACATTGCTGCCCACGGTGCAAAAGTGCAACAGTGCAACGCTGCAGTGTTTGCTGGTTGATCAAGGAGCGATGATCAAGCCACTGTGGCTGGCGGGTGATCTTTGGAAGTTGGAAGTTGGAAAGTCACTTGAATCGACTGATAAATCAACAAGGCAATAAATTACAGGGCCATGTGGATCGACTCATAGATCAATAAAAGTTCAACGGTGAATGCTGACAAGGGAAAATCGTATGAGCCGAAAAGGAAAATAAGGTCAGTTGTCAGCTTCATGACAAGATCTAGGAAAAAGTGAAAAAGAAAATGAGACAAGCGTTGGAACGCCACAAGCTGAAATGCCACACAACTGGTTCAAAATACACAAGATGAGCAGAATCAAAATCAGTGCAAGCGGTTTTTCGTGACTAGTCCAAGTAAGTTGGTCTGTACAGTGAAAAAACCGAGACATCTGGGAAATTGAAAACCCAATTGAATTGAATGGCCCTAATAAGACTGCCAATAGAGCCTCAGTCGTAGATTTGTGTGATCTGGCAGTGATAGGCAATCTCCGTGCGCTGCTCGTCATTGAAGTCCTGAATTGTAGTTAGGGAGCGGATCCGGTAGCGTCCCACCAGGGACCGTGTGGTCCGGTGGCTGCTTCTGGGTGATTGGGGCGGATGTTTGTTGGATTGGGAATGAACATAAACTGTTGTGTGGTGGATGCTGGCTGTACGGTGTGTGGGATAGCTGCAGGAGTAAGTGTGGCGTGTCCTTGTAGTAGAATCTGAAGACTGTAGAGTTGCGTTGGGTCGCACGGCTGAGGTGTGTTGGTGTGTGAGGGTGATGGGAAGAGGTTGATGGGTCGTGGTGGTGATACACAACTAACTGTTTGCAGCTCGCAGACAAGTGTAAGATGTATGTGGGCGTTGTGCTGGTGCAAGACGTTGGAGGTTGTCTGAAAGTGTTGATGAAGTGTGGGTTGTTTGAGGGAAGTCAGGTGTGGCAGGTGGTGGAATGCTTGCGCTGGCAGGGGCAGGTGGTGGGTTGGTTGCGTTGTGTGGTGATAATGTTGGTCGTGTGTTGTCTGGTTGTGTAGTGTGGGTGGGGTTGGGGTGAATGAGGTCTGCTTGTGGTACGCTCATCGGCAGGGTCTGGTGGTATAGGCTGTGTGCCTTTGCCTTTGCCAGTGGCTTCCACATGTCCAAGTGCTGCTGTCAAATCGTCGGTTGCGTGATCAACAAGAGCGCGAATGCGCAGAATACGGCCAAGCAAGGGTTGTGAAAGGTGTGGATAAATTGAATCGTCAAAGTACATTGTTTGTTGTGGGGAGTGAAGTTGCTCGCGGCTGTGGTGTAGTCCGAGTCGAAGGCTGTGCTGGCAAGCGTAAATGCCATAAAGGTGGGCTGCCGGAGTGTTGTGAGTCCAATGCCGAAAGGCGGCTTCCATGGTGAACAGAGTGAGAGGATGAAATTGCTGATGCTCAGTAAGTTTGAGTTGAAAATAGCTGTGTGGAGAAAAGCAACGTGGAATATGTGAAAGGCTCGCAAGTTGATGAGGTTGTAATGCTGTTGTGTATTATGGACAAGTAGTCTAACAGTGAGCATGGCTGTGATCGACAAATAGTAAATACTGTACTCAATACCGGTGCTTGCAGTCGAATTAGGACATGCAACATGTATGATGAAATAAATGAACAAGTTGGGTGATTGAATAAGCAACGAGAAGTGGACAATGCATGGTTTTGCCGAAGAAATTGATTTGGCGAAACCTAATGGGTGAAACATTCTGATGCTATTGATCAGATCGAGTACGTGCCTGTGTCCATGGAGCAAACCAATCGTATTATACCGACTGATAGTCTGAGGAAGAATAATCGTCAAAAATGTGGGATGTAAGCTGTGGTGAAAGGGTGAACTCAGGTTTGAGACACATGTTTGCTCTATTGGCTAGTAGCCGCTCATGCTTCTTGGGCTCCGTCTGGTCGTCGAGGGTGTAGCGGTCGGTGTTTTGGTTGAAATGGAGGTTGTTTGGGCTGGACTGACTGGAGTGAGAGCATCGGCCGCGCATGTGGTGAGATTGGAGGTGCTTTGGGTGGTGGTGGTGGTGGCCGTAGTGGTAATGGTGGTGTGGGATGTGGTGGTGAAGTGGGTGGAATGGTAGCTGTGGTGGGTGTGCGATGGTGTACCGGTGCAGTGTTGGATGTTGTTTTGTCGGAAGTGGATTTTTGGAGAGCAAATACACTGTCGCTGGTCTCCTCTGTGGGGTTGAGTTGTTGTGGTGGGGAGCGACATGTCGCGGGAGACAAAGTGCGAGAAGCTCTGGAGGAGTGTCGAGAAGTGGGTTGCTGGTTGGCGGTGGTGAGAACGTGATTTGCTGTGTGGACGATGAACGTCTGTAGGATCTGGATCGTGTAGTGTGGCGGTGGTGGCGGCGATGATGGTCGTGTCGTGAGGTGGTTGGATTGGAGATAGATCTGCTGTGGGTTCGTTGACGAGCTCGCCGGATGTTTTGTGAGTGTGCTGGCGCTGGTGTCGGTGGACGTGAGTACGTGAGGGAGAATGGCATCTGTGTTTGTGTGGTTGTTGTCTGGAGTGGTGTGAAGCCGTGCGAGTGGTGGAACGGTGTGTGGTGGGTGGCGGTGAGGTAGAATGGTGCTTGGATGGTTTGAGTTGAATAAGTGGGGTAACGGTGGGCTTGTGTGTGGTGGGAGCTGAGCGGCGTTGGCAGTTGGAGCTCAACGTCATTGGCAGCTCTGGGTGTCAACACTGCTTTCCTCTATGCACCTCTATGCGCGGTGGAAGAGAGCAAGAGAAAGAAGTTCCTGGCCATCGAAGACCGAGAGGAAGAAGCTCAGCAGCAAATGAGATCGACCCAAACCGAAGGAGGAAAGGACCTTGTGGCAGATCTTGGAACTAAGATGATGGACATGCTGGCAGTGAACTGGGGGCGACAAGCAGGAAGACAAGGCGGAAGAGGACTTGTCAAGCGCTTGTGGGTTGAGAACCTCATCGCGACTGCCCAGAAAGTTCCACTGAGACTGTGGATGAAGAGGGTGAGGGAGCTCAGGCGCCCTACATCTTCGGGCCGATAATGGTGATCCTTCGGATGGTGTTGACGACGGTGCTTCAGCGCTGCAAGAAACTCCGGGTTGGAGGAGAGAATCAACCTGAAGTGACCCTGCGCGCCACGCGCGCCGGAGAGGGGACTACGTCGTCCTCACCAGCATCTATGAAGGGAAAGGCAGACAACAGCGCCCGTAGGCATGGAAGGGATTCAGTGGCGAATCCAACGAGCTTCAGCCAGCAGTAGCGCTGGTCCAACACGTCAGGATCGCAGTGGAAGGCGCAGGGAGGTTGAACCGGAACTGCAGACGCTGTTGGTGGACGAAGGAGGAGGGCGGTCTATGAACGGCAGTGGGAAGCTTGGTTTGCTGAGTCTGGACAGCGCTTCCATTGAAAGAGAGACTGCGGAGGGCTAAGAAACGCCAGCAGGACTCGACGCAAGCCAATCTGCAGAGCATGCCAGAGATTCATGCAGGCGCAGCGACCCTACGACCAAACGGCCTTTCTTTACGAGGATGAAGTGGGAAGCCCACACCGATGCGGGGCGGCGTTGGAAATTTGCCACTGCAAGGCGCGCGCACTTCGCACCACCCGATGCCATGACTTGACGGCTGGAAACCAAAAAGGCCGTTTTCCAAGGAAGGGCTGTTCCCATGTGCTCAAGGAAGCAGGGAGGAGTGCAGATCGCAAGGTCGATACGCGCAAATCGAGAACTTGACATGAAGCCGTTTTGTTTAAGGAAAAAAGGCGGCGAGCAATATCAATATTAGCAAGTCACGTGTACAAATAATATCAGACCGCATATATAAAATTTGCTCTGCGTTGCGTTATGGCCATAAACTTGCAAAGACTGCTCAGGGGGCAACGTTGAAACAAGAGGCGTGTAGTTCATGTCCGCACGTTCGCAGCCTTAAATACGCAGGCTTGCAAGTGTTTGCAAAATAAGTGGCGCGCGATGTCCCACTCCACAGCCCCGCCCATCCTCTTTTGAAAGTTCTTTTGAACGGAACTGTTTGCTTACAAATGAAAATTCCACTGCGCTACAAGCTTTGCCTTACGCAACCAGTCTCAGTTTGCCTCAGGCCAGCGCAAGCAATTGCATAACCCGCCGTCTATTCCACGCTAAATGAAAATATCAAACTTGGCATCCTGCTTGAGGCGGCGCCTGCAAAGCCAACAGGAGTCACGCCCAGCCTCACACACTATCACTGGACACTCTCACCGGCCACGCTGCACAGTCACAGCCCTCTTCAGCTGCACCTCTGCGGGGGGGACCGCTTCCAAGAAGAACCTTAAACACTAGGCAATCATTCGCAAAATACCGATATCAAGCTTCCCCCTGGCGTCCTGGGTGCCCTGCTTGGCGTGGGCCCGAGCAGCAGGAGCAGCGCCCAAAGGAGCCTCGCTGAATCTCAAAAAGCAATGTCTAAATCTGAGCGCGCGCGGCCCCGACTACAGAGGCCAAGTGTCTCGAAACATTAAATCCAAACATATTTTTAAAAAGTAAAATTTAGGACCAGCGGCGCAGAAGAAAATCGGGAGAAGAAGCAAGTGAAGCCTAACCTCCCTCGTTGCGCATCTGCCAAAACACCCGTCCCTGCGCTCGTCACGGTGGGTAAGTTCAAGTTCGTCAGCCCCGCATGGTGGCCAAGAACAACCTCACAAAATATAATGTGGAAGACAGCAAGTCCTGGGCCCTGGGCGCAAAGATTTTGCTTATCTCACAATGAATTTAGTGTGAGGTCTGGGGGCTTGAACTTGTTGATGAAGGTGAGCAGAATTCAGGCGGCCCTTCACCTTACACTAGCCGAGGCGGAGCCAACAGGCTCAGCAGCTTCATCCTGAGGAATCTCCTTGTGCTTCCGGGCGCTGTGAGAAGGCCTTTGGTGTGCTGCTTGCCTCCATCGCGGAATCTCGAGGGCGAGCCGCGCAGGAAGTAGGCGAAGAGGTCGATAGGGCGTACCAGGGCGCATCTCATCTACACATCCAGAGTTTCGGGTCTTGGCGCCCTTGTCCTGAGGTGTCAAGTCACCCACCTGCAAGGCAGGTCTGGCCGGCGGTGCCCAGGATCTGTTCCTCTGGGGAAGCGCGCCCCAACCACTAGGCCAAGCTGGCACGCAATTGTGACTAGTGAAATGTGTACTCAAGACACTGCTTTCAACACGTTGGGACAATGGGGGGGTTGCCCGGACTGCCACATGCAAAGGACTTTTTGGCTTTCGCGGCACTCAACTTATCGTCTTGGAGTTCACTAACTCCAAGAGGATAACTTGAATGCATCTTTAAGACAATCCAAAAACCCGTGAGCCCCGTCCTCGAGTCTCTCCCGTCCTCCCACCTGCTCAATGACCTACACATCCAAGAGTCCTTTGCGCCGCAAACATCACATGCAAATTGGCTGGTTTGGCTCAAGGTGCTTAGAGCCCGCTTACCCCCAAGCTCGCCAAGCAATCAAATGTTGTATGCTGCGTCTGACTTGTCTCACTACTACTCGACAATTCCTTGCATAATGTCCTCGTTCCGTCAACACCTGTAACAAATGCGGGTTCATTGCATCCTTGCTTTTGCCGTTGTCTCTGTCTTCTTGTTTTTGCTGTGCGCCTTCTTTGTCTCTAATTTATGCGCCATATGAACCACACCCGCTTGGGACACCTGAAGACTGCAGAGGCGTTTAAATCCTCACTTTTGGTGGCGCTTCACGTTGACCAATACTCTGGGCTCTGTTTTGGGTTTGGATGTATAGTCGCGAGCCGGTTAAACACTTGAGCGCAGTTGCGTTGCTTCAACTACGTTCAAGGCCCCCCTGTGGAAACTGGAAACCATATCGCCGTATAAGTTGAGACCCTTGCAATGCTTGTGCTGGTACATTCACTTCAGCTCTTGTTGCTTAGGAAATGCTCTGCAAGATTCGGCGCACTCAAACAAACAGCAAAAGCACCTCAAACTATCTCAAGTTGATACTCGCCTGCAGCGATCTCAGCCTCACACAGCGGCTTCTCGACGCACGCTTATGCAAAGACGCGACAACCACACCGTTTAAACATTCGACAACATTAAAGCAACGTCGATATCGATCAACATGGCAAAACTGCACTCGGCTTGGAAACCCTCGCCTCAAATTTGCTTTCGGCGGCGGTGAGGGTGTATCTTGGCGCAATGTCACAGGTCATAGAAAGATCACAATTTCTTCTAAGCCCTATATCAGCCATTAGTTGCATTGGAAACGAGTTGAAGTCCAAACATAATCCGCGCAACCTAGCATCATCTGCCCAGGTCTCACTCTGCCTCCCGAGGCCAATGTCTAGAATGCTGCCAGGTGCCGGAGAAAAGGAGAAAAACTCGCCTGAGAAATCAGAGATTGCTCCATCTTGACTCGCCTGACTCCTTCTTTCAAGGAACACTAGCAAGCGAAGCAGCACCAAACTCATCTGATCTCTCCCGAGTTCACTCCTCTCCGCGCAAGCCTGAAGAGCTGTGAGCTCATGTAAACAGGGCAAGTGTCACGCAGCCGCTTATCTGTGATTAAGGAACGCAATGCGCGCATCAAGAACGCAAAAGCCTCGAAAGCTGGAGAAGGTATTGCTGATCGCAAAGTGCGCTGGATGTTGCCTTCCCAAAACATGCACCGGCCCCGCCGCAAACTGCGGTGAAGTGCGAGTCTCACTTCCAGCCAGAATAACATTGAATGAAGGACCAGTGGCAAAGTTTCTGATTTGGCCCACCTGCCAACTATCTCTGGCATAACCGGGGGAGGGAAGTTTCAAGGAAACCTACAGGGAACTGTTGTCATTAGTAAGTGCGACATTGTGAGGCGGCGATTTGCGAATTGAGTGCGAAACTGGTGACCTGTGGTGTGGAGTGTGCTCTTTCTACATGGAAATTGTCTGGCTTCCTGCGTGGAAAAACCGTTCTGTGGACCCTCACGTGTTTACTACAGTGCGACGTTGCCGTTGCCTTGAGAAAACAAACCTGCCGCAGGGAAAACATCAATGACCAAGCTCGTTGTATCGCCCATCTGCAACCCACAACAGCATGGGATCTGGGGTGTGGGGTTCATTGTCCGGACGAACGGTGCGCATCATGCGTCCGCTATTACGTTGCAATTGTCTGACATAAAACTCTGAGGTATATGTGGATTCAGGGCCATCAAGAGTTGCCAGCGATGCAATTTCGCATGCTCATGTCAAGTCTGAAATTGCAGCGCAACCATCGGGAATGCCCACCTGCAACTTACTTCATTGATGGCTTTAGGTCACTGTCCTAGTGGCAGATTACCCGCGGATGTTATCTCATGCTATGGTACCTGGTGTACGTTGCCTCATTGTTTGGACTTATGGCACCTGGTATCTCACATACCCTCTGGCTCCTTTAGTCTGCCTCTATCGCTTAGCCTGCAAGATTCATTGTTCTTCTTCGCGCGCACGCTTTGGACATCCAGGCCTGTCCAGTACCTGAGTCACAAGCCAAAACAGGAGGCAATTAATCAGAGGTGAAATGAGCCCACAACACAGACACGAAGTCATCCACTATTGAGACCAGCTCCTTGGGTGCCTTGAGTGTGCATCAGTTGATAGCAGAACACATGTTAAATGCAATCACTACTGGCTGAGGCTTTGGGCTGGACTCTCTGTGACCTTCAAAACATGGTCCAAGTATTTGCACAGGCCTGAGGTTCACTCTGAAGCAATCTCAATCAAAACCAAACAAGTCATTGCACCTCAAGAAACAAACTGATCAGGTTTCTCTCTTGTTGACTCTTGTTGATCAGCTGCCAGAGTCCAAGGACCCCTGGCCCAACGAGCGCTCAGCAACAACATCATCTCGTCCGTCTGCTCCGATTCGGTACGGCCTTGAACTGCATTGAATCCGTCTGCCAATTTCTTTGGAAAGTGGACAGATTCTCGTCTTCGTCATCTTCCATCTGTATCACCCCATCCAGCAAAGGCGCGCAAAGTGTGACAGAGGCTGGAGGCCTGTGAACGAGAAAAACAACATATATAACGCCGCAAACAAGCGAAATCCAAAAAATAACTATTCCGGCAAGAGACAGTGCGTTTAAAGGGGTTAGAAGCAGAAGGTCTAAAGATCTAGACACATTGGGTTCCAGAGAGAGGTGATGGTGGTGATGATGATGGCGGTGATGAAGGTGGTGATAGTGGTGATGGCGGTGGCGGTGATGGTGGCGGCAATGAAGGTTGTGTTGTGATGATGGTGATGATGGTGGTGGTGGTGATGGTGGTCGTAGCGATGGCAATGAGGGCGGCGATGATGGCGGGGATGGTGGTTGTGATGACGGTGGCGATGGTGGACGAGGTGGAAGGTGGCGATGGTGGTGGCGATGGTGATGATGGCGGTGATGATGGTGGTGATGATGGTGGTGATGGCGCTGGTGGTGGTGGTGGTGGTGGTGGTGGTGGTAGTGAATTGCTGCCTCCCCCGAAATCTACACTGCAAAGTCCACAAGCTACTCACCCGGAATGCTGCACCTGCCACGAAAGCTTCAAGGTCCACAAAGCACAGCGCCTCGAGTCGCAGCAAGAGAACTTGTAAAGACAACGTGCCAAAACGCGGCTTTCGCTCGAGGCTTCCTCCGATAAATGAGAACGAGCCACATGTCCAAAAGCCACGACTCACTGCGCCCAAGCCAAAGTACTGCGCACGCCACGAAATCTGTACGTCCACGTAAAACCGCTCCGATCTCCTGCACCTGTCGCGAAAAGTCAATATTGGACCACCAAAACACGAGCCAGATCCTGCAAGCCTGCGCAGTCAAAATGCACTTCGAAGATCTCGACGCGAACGAATGTATTGTAAATAGCTGCGAATTAGCCAGGCACGGATGCGACCACCTTGATCATACACCCGCCCGTAACTCTTACCATTACCATAAGAAACCCCAGCGTTACAACAAGGTTTGGGGAACTAGCCAGCGATTGGAGGGAACCAGGCGCAGCAAGCGCAACGAAAGTGAAAGCAACGCTTACTTTACTTCAGAATCTGTTTGTTACGCTTGTTGGTAGCCTTTTTTGTGAGTCAAATGCGCACACCAGGGTCCATGAAAACACTAGGACCTCCAGGGGTCTCAAACGTCGACTCTCACCGACACCAAGGGGCTCGAGGTGGGGTGGGAGGGCTGGGAGCCATAGCGCTCGAGGAAAAGCGCGAGCCATCGGGTGGGCTGCGGAGGAGCGGCGCTCCAACCTTTTGGGCAAGGTGCATTCCTTTTTGGTCGTGTACTTCTTGAAGCGCGGCTTCATAGGAAACGGGGTATCAACCTTTCTTCATTGGGGTTGGCCCGCTACCAATTTCACATTGGTAGCGGAGCCTGTTGCTCCGAAGAGTGGGATCCAGGGCTTCGCTGACCAGTGTGACGGTCGTCTTCTTGCGTTCGAACGAGCGTTATAACCGGACACCGTTGACAGTTCTTGCACTGCGAGCTGACTTCTTGATCTTGCATAGCGGGGTTGAGGGCTTCACAACATGGACATTGATTGTCGCGCGCGTTGCACTGTTGATTGTACATTACCGGGGCGCGTCGCAGCTTGCTGTTGTGCATTGAGCAGCTGACACATTGTTCTTTCCTGGTGACGAGCGTCGAGGGTCGACATTGTTGCTTTAGACATTAAAGCATTGTGTTGAGTTGTGAGTTGCTACGTTGAGCATTGAAGGCAAGACGCCTTTTGTCGGTCGGTTGAAGCAATGCCTCCACCAGCGACGACTCATATATCGCCAGGTCGGAGGTGCATTTTGAAGAGCTGCTTGCAAGGGGCACCACCTTGGAGGAGATTCGGGCGTATGTCCTGTTACAACAGTCGACATTGTCGCCCGATGACCGCAAGAAGATTGTTTGAGATCAGGGTGGCAAGCTGACATATCCCGAAGTCACCAAGGCAATTCGCTTGCTTGGCAGCCGATTTTTCCAGGATCTGCAGGGCAACAAGAGCTCCAAGACCAAGGTTTATGATGTCAATTTGACTGAATGTGATAGCATGTGAAGCATTGGTGACGTACATTGATGCGAGACAGAAGTTGCAGGACAAACGAGGATTTTGGCCGGCGCAGTCGAGTTCAAATCACTAACTCCAAAGGAGGAAAGAAGGGTAAGACTGCGAAGGGAGGAGGCAAAGGAAAGAAGCGAGAACAGCTCTTGGCCCTGTCGCAAGATCACATTGTCGCGCTTGTGGAGAACGTGGGCATTGGCGAGCTGAGTGTCCAAATCGTGCCAACTCAAGCGCAACTCAGACTCGCAAGAGTGCAAACCTGGCCGAAGCATCCTTTGACACAGGCATTCCACCCATTTTGGAAAGCTTGTCGGATACAGCGGAAGATGTCTTGGAAGTGTTTTCCGATGCTTCTCAGGCCAGCGTCGATCGACCAACCATTTTCGAGAACATGGTTGAAGGGAGTATAAGGTAGGTCTATGTTGTAGTCCTGGGGGTTCAGCCACTGCCTTCGTCATTCAATGTTCGAGTGAACAGCGCAGCAAATTGACTAAAAAGGCGCAAGCATTTTGCCACCGATTCCGAAAGCCAAATCCAAACTCGCGCAACTCGAACGCCACTCGTCCGCCCAGGAATGAAGAGAGGCCAGAATCCCTGCCAAGCGCGATGGACAATAGCTTCCTCGCTTTGAGTGATCACCAGGCTGATCAGGATCGCAGGATTTTGATCGAACTCTTGCGGCGCAGGTCGTCCTTGGCAAAGCGACTCGCATTCCAGGATCCTTGACCGGCGATGAAACCACCAGCGCACATGCCTTTCAAGACGATGTTCCAGAAACATCGAACCTCCATGAAACATCACTCGGAGAAATGAAGCCCGAATAGTCTTCTTAGACGCAGATAACCATCAAGCTATTCGACGTGCCCTGTTACGAAGACCCTGCCCAGTTCGAGGATCCTTTCAGGCCAGGACAGTCAGTCATGTACTGGTTTCGCCGAAAGAATGTCTCTCGAGGCGAGAGTGGTCGGTGGTATGAACCTGCGCGTGTCATTCAACAAGAGGATCAATCAACTGTTTGGCTGAGCCACCTAAACCGCATGATACGATGTCCCCCTAAAAACATCAGGCCCATATATGTCCCCTCGAGAATGGGACCAGAACGAGACCCCGAATCCCTTGGCAGACGCGCAGCCCGAAAGAGAAATTACCCCGAATATACCACTCGAATCAACGGAATTGCCTCCGTCAACGGATGACCCTCCAGGTCCACGTGAAGAAGACACTAAGCAGAAATGGCAGAAAATGAAGAAGAACATCCCTTTGATTTTGCTGAATTTGCGCAAACAGAGCTGGAACTGCTCATCCAACGCCATCAAAGTGAACTCGCGGAACCGACTGACCATCGAACTCAAGACCTCTTACTGTGCATACGAAACGTGTGTCTCGGCCCCCGGTGATGCAGGGGCAGGCCACGCGAAAACGCGAAAACCGCGAAAACGCGAAAACGGCCAAAAACGCGAACACGGCGAAAACGGCAAAAACGCGAAAACGCGAACACGGCGAAAACGCGAAAACGAAAGTAAGAGCCTGTTGGAGTGGAGTCAGAAAAGCATGCCTGAGATTGATCTGGGATTGGAGGTTGTTGTCTTGATGTTGACGATTCGGGAATGGTGGTTGTCACAACGACTATTATAAAACTAGTGCTTGGACTTATAGGGTATATATATATAAATTATACCCCCCAAAGATCGACCATTTTTATTTGTTTCACGGTTGTGGATGCT